TAATTATCAGTTTCAATTATGATTACTTCCACGGTAACAAACAATGAAATGGTTAAATTTGTAAGGATACTATTATATGTTTGCCCACTCGAAAAGTTGCTAATGCTTGCCCAACAATCCGCTGTTCTTTTCACTGCTTATCCTTCGGAGTTCGCCTACGGAAAGATTGACATGTTAGTGAAGTTGGGATTCAGATTTAATTTAGTTGAGATATAAACTCCGATCAACTATCAAATTTTTTTTTCATCGTATTTTAAATCAGTGGATGGGAATTTTTCCGAATGTCACTCAGTTTAATTGCCTATTGCTTGCATAGGGATACAAGGATATCTTGAGGATGAATGCGTCTTATATGCATATTAGTAGATATTAGTGATATATATATTAATATATATACTAGTATGCATATATAGGCCCGTTACTGACATAAATTTGTAACAGAATACTGCCGAACATTGTGTAAAGGCCGACTTTTAGCCAAACTATAAGATAAGACTCTGTCATAGCCTTGTTTGAGAATAATCATTCTAGTTCGGGCACAAATGAATATTAAATAATCAAGTATTTGTGTATATATGCATATATTCAAATGTTTTGAAGTGAGTGTGTATACGCATGTATAAGTGTATATAATTGGGCCGGTATCGATAAAATCCAAAATGAGGCCATAAGTTGGGGCCAGTGGTCCATAGGAGGAAAATCACCAGTGTGAACATCTGCAAAGAAGGATAGGGTAGTGTGGGAAATACATGAAAATAATGAAATGAAAAAAAGAAGTTAAAATGAGGTACGTTAAAGTGAAGCCTGAGATAGGATACACATACATAGACGAGAATGCAGGCATGTGCAGGTGCTCCCCAGTACGCATCAAAATAGGTATAGATACAAAGTGGAAATCGTGGAAATCAAAGTATGTTCGACCAGAGAAAATCGCCAGTATCAAATTACAGGGAGTGGGGAATAGACTGAACATGTCAAATATAAAGTCTGTCTAAATTTCCTTCCGAAAAGGAATAAAATGAAGATGAGGATGCCTGCACAATGTGTGCGCAGTGTAAACAGCGATCGGAAGCAAACTGAGAAAAGGCAAGAACAAGAAAAAAACAGTATGGGCAAAGTCAAAAAGCACTGGGTACATAGATATGAAGGTAGCCGAAGGAAAAGAGAAAGGAGTGCAAAGAAGTCGAAAGTGAGAGGACCAGGAAATCCAAAAGAAAAAGCAAAACGTTCAGCAAGAATTCCCTGATCCTCTTAATTGACAGATAGAAAAAAAAGTTCATTTGCATTCCGAACGGCTCAGACAAAGAATAGATGCCTATAATTTTATATAAATAAAGTGGATGTTTTAAAATGTCGCGCAGATAGGGAAATTCAAAAAAAACTAAAAATTGGATCTAAAAATAAGCATTGATTCAAAACACAAAAGTAGAGCAATGAGAGAAGAGGTAAGAGATCGGAGAAGGAACTAATGTATATACCTAAGTAAATAATAAATTAGCACGTTAAACAAGTTAGATGAAATCCAAGAGAGTAGAATAAATTTTAAAATGCTTGGATGATTTTGCTAGAAAATATGAGCAAGATACTCAATAATGTAAAGCAAGAAGAGGAGGAAAAGCTGAGTGATCGAATCGATATCCACAGCAAATAGTGCGAACTAGAAATGGATACAAATTGCATATATAAACCTAAATAGACGTGCAGAAGAGGACCAGAGATTGATGGTGTGAAGACAAAAGGTATTTTCGATCGCATTTAATTATTTGGGGTTTGAGAGCAGTGTTAGCATTGTTGATGCATGCGTGCGTATGTATATACAGGTTTTTAATAAAATCTGTAAATAAATAAAGCGATTACTAAGTAGTAGTGAGTAGCACGAACAAAGTTGCGTTGGCAAAATCCATTCTTCACAGACGAAACAGGAGCCTAAGGGCAGTAGCAAAATATTCCGAGTAAGGATACAAGAGGTCAGTATACATCCTGAGCTTTAGTCAATACACTAAAGACTAAAAGGGATCGATTGTTCTAGTGAAGAGATTGACAATTAAAGTAAATACTTCACCTAAATATTACAATAAATAGATATATTATTTCGAGAGAAAGGGATACCGGGCAGTTTTCAATCGGGAAACCTCGAAAATAAGCAAAAAATAGTCTAGAAATTGTCACTGGAAGGAAGCGTGATAAATTTGCATTTAACTTTATTAAAAAAGAAGAATATAAAGCCACTGAAACCGGAATAGAAAAAAACAATTATTATAAGTGACTAAGGCGAAACTGGATAGGTATGAATGTCAACCAAAAGAAATCCGATTCATTTTAAAACTATGTACATACGCGTGTGTTCGCGCAAGCGACTATGCGAGTTTGATTGTGCGTAACTGTGTGTGTTTATGTGTGCACATAAATGTGGTACTAGACCGTGCTAGTTACACAGGGTTACTTATATAATAACACAAATATGGCACAAGCTTGGCCCAGTCTTTGTGCCGAGGCTGAGAGACCGATCTAATAATTGCAGATGATCCGGAGAAAAGTCAACGAATCTCTTTGGCTTTCCATCATTCTCGAGCACGAAATAGAGAAAATCACTCGTGAACTAGCACAGAAACACACAGAGATCAGAGGCGCCCACAAATACAATCGTTTGCGGGTGCAGAGACACTACACACACCAAACCGGAGTCATGATACAAAAAGGCGTGTAGAAGCAACTTTAACGCCACATGGCGACGCCAGCATCAAGGTTACAGGGAAACAGGGAAGATCAATGCAGAAGGATAAAGTTGTAAGAGATGGATTCCCTTAGGTAGAGCAAACTATCAAGAGTAAGGGTAGTAAGTCTGTAAAATTGGATGACGGCTCTTTGAGATGAGATGGGAGCATTTATAAAGTGCAATTGATGAAATTAAATGGGCGTGAAGCAGTTAACATTATCACCTCTACCACGGAGAGTCGAGAGAAATGCACACCGATAATGGGATGACGGTATACATGTGGATTAATTAGGCAGGCTTGAGGGATCTGAGATAATCTTCAGGCTATTCGGCATATTTCCTGCACGAGCATGGGAAGTAGCCAGAAGTTATGCTACTAGAGCAAAGGGGTGAGTCAGAGGAAACAAAGGAATCACGAACGGATACAGGAAATAGAAGAGATTAAAGAAGTAGCTTGCCCAAAACAAGTCCTCTTCACTCCCTGATGGAATCATAAGCAAGACTTCACTCCTGCTACTATAGCAGTCGACTTTGGCCAAGGCACCCTCACACACCTAAGAGGCACAGCGACAGAACAATCAACCAATGTAACTAGTGGGTAAGTGAGAAGTCGAAAATAGCAAGTGCTGCTGTTGTTGTTGTTGCAAATTGGTTGTAGAACCGGTAGCGGAGCTGACGGTGGTAGTGGCAACATTAGTAGTGTGGATAGGTGACAAGAGACTGGGAGGAGGAGAGGGTAAAGGAGAAGGGCAATCGGGAGTTTCGGAACGGGCGTCGCCTGGCGTCAATAGCCCGGGACTGGCCAAATGATGAGGGGGTGTAGGAAGGGAGGAGGAAGAGGAAGAAGTGCAAGAAGATGAAGAGGACGAGGAGGAAGATGTGGAAATCGAGTGGAGGCTGGCATGCGACGAAGGGACGGATGATGATGATGATGATAACGAGGTTATACCGCCAGCAGAATCATCGACTGTAGCCAATGGAGTGTTGACAACCGATGGCGTAGCTACAACTTGTGGTGAGACTTCTGTCACCTGAGGCATATCACCACAGGCCTCAGAGTCTGAGAGCAAGCAAGCCAGGTCGTCGCCCATACCAGCTTTGTGCCTTTTATCATCTTCCCTATCCTCCGATTCTTCGATGATCGCTGCTGACGAAGATACAAAATTCGAGTCTGCAACACCGGTTTTTTTGGAACCAGCAATTACTCCTCTTGTCCCATTTGAGGTGCTCGTGGGTACAACATCAAATTTGTTATGAGTCGGATCGACGAACAGGCTAGTTAAAATAGCGGGTGAAAAATATTTAAATTAAAGATGATCAGGAAAAAAAGAGCGTGAGTCGTATTGACAAAAGTCATCTTTCAGAAAATAAAGAGTGTCTAAAGAAATAAGTAACAAATTTCGAGGAAAAAATCAAAAGAGCAAAAGGATCCTGACATTTGGACATAAAGAAGTATTACTTCCTTATTCAGTTATAGGCTATCTCAGATAGACTGAATTAATTTTAACGCAAAAATATTGAAAAATATGTCTAAGAATCGCAATAAAATAGTCTAATAATATGCTATGATGTGAAATAAGTGAGAGTAAACACAAATTTTAGTTATACTGGACGTAAAATGTAGTCTTAGCCTTGACAACATGAGATGATTGAGGCAAAAATAATGGCTTTCTTCTTGCACCTATAAAAAACTAATCATATGGGCCCTCCTTCTTACGCCCACATTACAAGTGTGGTGGAAAGATAATGTTTGGTTAAAAAAACTGCCACATTTATTCATTTTGGGTAAAGGCAAGTAAATAAATTTAGCAGACAATTGGTGAAATGATCGACTTCATCTGTCGCTTTGACGAGCTGTAGTGTGGTGCTAAGTATAGCAGGGCTCACTGATGATGCTGACTACAATGCAGGCGAAAAATCTGGGAATGTACCAAGTCCACGGTCTGACTCTGAAAATTAGCATGCATACTAGGGACTCCTGACTAGGTGCGTTCCTCTAGGTCTTCTTGCCAATACGACTGAGTTGCGAAAACAAGGTCAAACAACCAGTATACCACGAGAGGAGACCACGACCGATTAAATCAATTATAATTAAAAAAAATGAAGAATGCAAGAACAAAAAGGTTTGATCTTGAATAAATTAACTGTCTAATATATAGAATAATTGTGAAACAGGAGGGGGAATACATTTTAAATAAATGGACAGAGTACTGAGAAGATAAAAAGGAAAAAGTTTTATCTGAATGTAATAACAAAAATATAAATAATATATGTGAAATAATAGGAAATCAAAAAGCTAATTATATTGTCAAACGACCCTACCCATCAGAAAGTATGTGATCGGCTGTCATTTCTGCCATTTTCTTATTCAAAGACCATCCAACATCTTCTTGTTTAATATGAGTCTCACAGAGTTGATCAAGACTCTTCCAAGCCTTTATTGGTCTTGTAATATTTGCTATTCCCACTTTTGTTTCGTAGCTAGCGCCAGGTCGCTTCTTGTCAAAGTTACTGTTATCATCGATATTTGTTCTCTCCTCGTCCTCCTCGTCAGAATGCCCTTCATTTTCTTCGGTGCAAACACTCTCATCAGTCTCATCCTCACTCTGGTCGCCGTTATCATACGCCTCTTCCACCAGTTGTGATTCATCATCTTTATCACTTGTTTTCTCAGAGAAAGAATTTCCAGTAGCAGCATCATCAAGCTTCAAAAATACTTGAGTTAAGTAAGCGAGAACAGCTGCGTGCAGTCTGTCACCGAGAGTGGATCCCTGTAGTAGTGTCTGCTGCTGAGGAGCGGCTGGTATTCCCGTTTCTAAGGGGGCAGGATGTCTAGAATCTTGAGGTTGTACCACTCTTTTCTTTCCAGCATCATCACGCCGAGTGGTGTCTCCGGGTGCAGGGAGTGGGAGTCGGAGACGAAGACAATGCGAGAGACGGCGCAAAGCAGGTAATCGCAGCAGAAGTCGACCCATCCGACCATGTGGAGTATGTGGCCAAACCTGGGCGCAATATGCCTCTAGACCGGCGTAGGTCTGATCACGCGCCGACTCAATGAGATGTCGACTCCGAGCCGACAATTGTGCTATATCTGAATAAAACCAAAAAGATGTGTTAAAACATAGTTGCTTAAAATTTTAAATAAGTCAGCTCAGTGTATGAAAAGAATGATAATGGCAATTGGTTAATGATGATGGTAATAGAATTAATAATAAAGAAGCCTAGAGACAAACAAAAAGATAAATACAAGGAAATAGCCAGGCAGTGAAAATGATTAACGGAATCAGAGAGAATATAGCCTAAACCAAGTAGCAAGTTGAAAATCTAGACATTAAAACTAAGTTTATCATAATTAGCTTAAATACTAACAGGCTATACTCTTATCACCATAGCAAAATAACCTCTAAGTAATTCCTTTCTGTAGATAATTTTTTTAACAGACCTTACTCAAGGCCTTTAAACAATGCTCAAAGGACATGAATAGTTTATTGTTTGACGGGTAACGAATTTGCCTACCATAAATTATTTGCTCTATCTTCGCTTCAAGCAATTCGCTGCTATTTAAACAAAAAATTAATTTCGAGGCAAAAGCTGTAACTTAACGAGTTTAATTGCAAGCATACGATTGTCTGATATAAGAGCTGCATTCAGACTATTTCATTTATGGTCATATTGGTAGGAAGACTTATTGGAACGAATCTAATCCGGTTTCCATTGTCTGCATGATCATTTCCAAAGTTGAACCGTGGACGTGGTACATTCCCAAACGTTTCGCCGGCAGGGCCATTGTCTGCATGATCATTTCCAAAGTTGAACCGTGGACGTGGAACATTCCCAAACGTTTCGCCGGCATCGTTGGCATCGTCAGTGAGTATCTCTTTGACGAGTTGTTGTGTGGTGCTAAGAATGGCGATACTCACTGACGATGCCGGCGAAACGT